ACAGACAGACAGACAGAAAAAGTTTTTTCCGACCAGACGGAGTAATAGGCTTCGCTAATCGCTCAGCCAATAAACAAGGGGGCAAATATATTTAAGTAGTTTAATACTATTTTGTGATCAAGGTTATCAACAACAAAGATAAAGCTTTAAGAGGCGTCCCTCAAGATGGCAAAAATCACAATTACACTCACATCATACAATCACAAGTACAATATAAACATGGGAACCCTACAATAATACCCTAAGTAACAATGCAATCACCGTTACACAACATGTCCAGAGTCTTAGACTACACAGACAAAAGCAGACACACTGCCAAAATTAATTAAGAATGATAATCCATTCGAACAAAGTTTAACCTCATAACCGAGGTAAGCTTTTCTATACTGGGCCCAGATTTATAAGAAATTTGTTAACTCACCAGAGTTGAATCCTACGCAGGTTGCATGAACAGGTGCATGGGGGCGGCGCCACCACCCACACACAACACTCACATTTCACATTCACATTTACATTTTCAGAATTACATATTGGAAACACCAACACATAACACACATTTAACTATAACACTCAAGTTACAGTAAGTTTCGTCACACAGTGACAAACACAGTCACTCCATTCCAACAGCTGATTGAAGTGGGAGTGGGAAAGGGGGAGGGCGCTGGGGGGCGGCGCGGCGCTGAGCTGCGCGCGGCCTGTGCGGCGGCGGGCGAGGCGACCCGGGAGGGGCGGCCTGGTGGAGTTTGGGCCCGTCGACATCCTCGGCGTCCAAAGTAGAGTGGGGCGGTAGTAGGCATTGGCGGCGGCTTCGGGAGGCGAGTCACAGTGGGGCCTAGCCCATCATGGCGGCATTTCGCCGGGTCACCGAAGCCCTGTACAGTACGGTTGATCAGTACAAAACGTCAACACAACTTTGGACAGCCGTTTGGGAGACGAGTCGGGGTGCATACCTTGCGGGCTTGGTTTGGTGAAAGTAATCCATATTGATGATGGAGAGCTGGAGCACAATACTGTCGAACGCGCACAACACAGTGTGTACCGCAAACGAGGTCGACGCGTCTCGTCGTCTGCTGACCGTCTCGTCCGTCCGCTCCGCTCGTGTACTCTCGACTGACTCGCGCGGCGGCACGTCAGGCCGGCCGCTGTCTCTCTCGCACTCGCTCCGAGGTGGCGCTACCTCTCGGCTGCCGGGTCAGGCGTGTCCGAGGGCGGCTGTTGGGTTGCCTACCTCTAGGCGTTTTCGGGCTATTTGGTTGCCGTCCGCAACACAGTGCCCCCCCCCCCCTTCCTGTTCTTCCCTGGCCTCCCATTTGTACATTACTATTACTATATTCCTTTAACCTTTACATTTGAGAATTTTGGCACACTAACGACTAAAAGCTCAGCCACTACGGGCTGCTGCACGTACTCCTACGTATTGAATTCGGACGCAGCCTGTCTGCTGGGCGGGGGAGGGGGGGAAGGCCTGTTCGCTGGCTGCTATAAAGCCGGCCGCTGTGGCCCGATCGGCCACTTCCCGTTCCTCCCACTGCGCTCGTCTAGAGCCTGCTCATCAACATGGTCAGCACTGCCTGGTGTATTCTGGCCACCCAAAACGTGGTGGTCTTTCACAGTAAGTACTTAGCAATGGGGTAGGAAACAAGCAGGCCCGCCCTTCCGCCAAACG